GTAGGTTTTTCGGGCTATATGGCCATGTTCTAGAAGTATTCTCTCCTGACGTTTCGCCTGCATCTGTGGCAGATATCCACAGAGATTGGGAGCTGGAGATGTTTAGTTTGGAGAAGAGAAGGTTGAAAGGGAATATTGGAGCCATGTTTAAATCTTTGAAGAGGAATAAAGCTTGTTTTCCATTGTCCAGAGACAGGGATACAATGGAGCCATGGATTCAAATGGCAGGGAAGGAGATTCCACCTGAATATTAGGAAGAATGTCCTGCCAGTCAGAGCCGTTCAACAGTGGCATATGCTCCCTGGGAGTCTTCCATCTTGTCAGTCTGCAAAGGTCTTGTTCTGTGCATTCAGCTTCATCATGAAAGAAGGAATGCATTTGGGACTCTCTCCTAGGCTTTCATGCCCAACCCATGAAGCATTCAGACCCATGGAGATGGTGTGGGAGGGAGAGGCATTCATGGCTCCTTTGCACTTGGGTTCTGCCTCTGAAGAAATGACTCAGGGCGACACACGCTGAGCCTGTTTGCAGTCTGAACTCATACAGATGGTTCATAGGCAGCTCTCCCTGATCTCAGTTTTTCCCATTGAAGTCTTGAAGGGGTTGAGAAGGGTTTGGTTTCTCTTTTGTTAACATACACACAGAGAGAAACGTTCTGCTAAGGTTCCCAGGTTTCCTTTGGGAGAATCGGCGTCAGTCCGAGGTGCTGATTTATGCCGTTTGGTTCTGCCAGCTCTCAGGGTTTACTAGCACTTATTTTGGACATTCTTGAATCCCAACATCACTCTCCAAATCAGACTCTTGGCTCTTTGGCTTAAAGAAGCCTTCGAGGATTTATGGGAAGTTCTTCAGGCTGAGCTCCAGAAACCAGGCAGGAAAAGGGCCTTTGTCTCAGTTTTGGGGATACGGAGTCGAATGCTGTCATCTTGGGAGTCTAGGAATTTGGAAGCTCTGCAGCTTTCTCTGGAGGAAGAACAGCGTCTCATCATCTTGAAACAGAAGGCAGCCTAAGACCCCTTCCCCCCACTCATGTTAAATTTACATGACTCCTGTCTTAAAGCTCACAGTGACACGTATGTGGTCTGGCATAAAGGGAACAATACAGGATCCCTCTGGATCTGCAGTGTTTTCAAGCCCTTGTTTTGGCAACTATACAGGTGTGCAGTTGGCACTCTTGCCTTCCCTACCTTCAGAAGGGTTTCTTACCCATTACCGACTTAAACCCCATGCATAGATCACGGGCACACGATTACCACTCTTCCTTTAGGCACATAAATTATTTTCCCACCCAGTGGAAAAAATGGCTGTAAATGTTGGAGTTTAATCCTACCCAAAGCCAAGCATTTTGTCGGGAAAGGAAGCTCATCTCCTCTTTGCTGAATTGGGGCCTGGGTCTGGCAAATGCAGCCAGATCGGCTTTCAAATGCATGAAAGATCCAATTCAATGTCTTCTAGTATTGGTGTATGTACCTTGCCACATGCTCTTTGGTGTCTTCCTGGAGGTAAATGGTAGTAAAACCTTGCAGCCCCATTGAAATGGCAATATCTTCTTTTGTCCAACTTGTCCAATAGTGGGGCAAGAGAGAAACAAGTTCAGGACCTGTCTGCTTTAAAGATAGTCTATTGACTTCCAGAGGATGCTCTGCTCCTCGCTGAAGAGTGGCAACCATAACCCTTTCTTGCTGGAAATGCCCCGCTGGGGAGGCTTTGAACCTAGCTCAGAAGAGAGCTGCACCATGTTTTGAAAGTCAAATGAAGTTGGGCTCCGAGGAAGAGTGATTTGGATGTCGAGATCCCAGCAGATCCTGGCATCTCGGGACTCAGCCCTCTCTTGCTGTCATCCGCATTTTGGGGGGAGCGGACTCCCCCTCCGGTCTCCCAGGGCTGGCTGTGTCCCCTGGGACGTCCTTCCCGAAATGGCAACAAGAAGCGATGTTGCGTCGCTTCCAGTCATCCTCTCGAGAAGGACACCAACCAAAATAGAGGTGTCTGGAACAGCTGGAGGGGAGGAACCTTCCTCTGCATTGCAAAGGGTGCTTTTGCCTCTTTGGGGGCTTTCTGCCGTTTTCAGGCCACAATGTCTGACAAGTATGTCAAAAATAATTAAGATAAAGGAATAGAATTTGGGGTGATTGGCAGAGGGGACCTTAGGGCCCGTGAAAGTGGGGGCCGCATCCAGACTGAAGCCCTCTCTTTGCCTGTCATGGGCCGGAGAGATGGGAAGTTTCTCAATCTGTGCATAAATCTTTAACCCGTCAGTTACCAGAGTTAGATATTTAGCAGAAATGGAAACAGGGCAGGTCTCTACTTGGCTGGGATGTGTAGTAAGCAAGACTGGGCAGCCTCCCTTCTTAAGTCTTTATGGGTTCTTAGGACAGGATCTTAGGGCTCGCTCCCCAGCAGCCTTCTTGGTTCCCCTTAATGTGCTTGATGACAAGGATTCTTTCCAGTGGCAATGTGGTGTGGTGTGGTGGGCTCATGCAGGGTGAAGGAGGAGCCAAGGATCTCCTTGAAGCCAAGGCAGGGCCCAGCACCAGAACCAGGGGCAGTTGTGGTTTGTGCGCGTGCATTTGCATCTTAACCCAAAGAGTGGTCTGAGAGCTAGAAGATGTGGTGTGGAGAGAGCAGTGCAACCAGAGAGAGGGTCTGTCAGAAGGGGAAATGGCCAGAAGCACTGAAGCATGAAGGAAGCTTCCGGGTGGCGGACAAGCCTGGGCTAGAAGCAGCACGGGATAGGTGAAGCTCTGGTAAGGTTGCGGAGCCACAGGAGAGTCAGAATAAAGAGAGGTAGAGTAATGAGGTTGCAAGCATCGCAAGGTTGACTCCTGGAGAACTAGTGAAGAGGAAGGACAAAGACAGAGAACGAAAGCGAGAAGGCCGGAGCCGGGCAAAGAGAAGCAAGGCAGCTGACCTGGGCATAAAGGGGAGCTTGTCCGTTGAAGCCGGCCAGCAGCTGCAGCCCCCCCCCCCCCAAAAGCCAGAGCCCAGAGCAAGCCCTGGTCAGCCATGGAGCCGTTTCTCTCGCTGAGGCCTCAAACACAGCTCTCTTTGTTTGTTCCTCTCGGCCTATTTACATGATGAGCCTCCTGTCATTGGCTGGTGCTATCACTGGAGAGCGCAGGACCCACTTCCTGGCCGTGGGTTACCTGTCACGTACGCCTAGGCACCAGATCCAACAGCTTCCTCACCCAGTTCTCCTCTGAGGGCAGGGAAATCCAGTTATCCAGTTAGGGAGCAGAATGACATGCGGCACTGAAGGAGCAGATTATCTCCTGACACACCTCAGTTTTACAACCAGCAAGGTAAGGCAGCCAGGTTGGCAGCGAGGCCAGGGGCCACTCAGGAGGTCCCTTCCTCTGACCCTCCGGTCCCCTTCCCTCAGCCTGCCCTGCTCCAGGCTCAGCGTCCCCAGCTCCCTCAGCCACTCCTCAGAGGGATCCCTGCCTTCCAGGTCGGGGCTTCTTGCTCCTCGGCCCCATTATCTGCCCTTCTTTCTGCAGCAAAGCAAACTCAGTGGCTGCCCTTCCTCTCTGTTTTCTGCTGCCTTGGCTTCCCAGAAACCTCTGGGCTGATGTAAACTCCCTTTGAGCAATCTCTTTGTGTGTGTGACACACACATGCACAAGTGTGTAAAGGTATTTGTGAAGGGTGCTGTATTTAGGAAGAGAAAGACTGGGCGTTCTCCAGTTATGAACAATATGCTGATGGTGTTTAATTTCTAAAAACAGAATTCCAGAAGCCATCTTGTCTGCCCCATAAACCCTGTTTCAGAGCTTGGCAATGGCAACCACCAAACCTGGAACTAAGGCAGGCTTTATATGGATATAAAGTGCTCCATACATTTCTGTTGGCTAGCAGAACGAATGGCTATCTATCCGTGTTGGTCAGCTTCTATTCTATGTGCCTTCAAGGTGTGCTGTGGCAATAAACCCCAAAACAGGAGCCGTGGTGACACAATGTGTTATATCCATGTGCTGGCTGAACTTCTGACCTGAAAATTGGTAGTTCAAATCTACGAGATGGATGAGCTCCTGTCTGTCAGCTCCAGTTTCCCATGTGGAGACATGAGAAAGGCCTTCCACAGGATGATAACATATCTAGGCGTCAACTGGCCAACGTCTCTGCAGATGGCCAATTCCCTCACACCAGAAGTGACTTGCAGTTTCTCAAATTGATCCTGACACGATTAAAAAAATCCCAAAAACCAAATTACCTGTGAAGCTTCAGGTGAGGAAGGATAGATGAAGGAACTGCTGGTAAAATTTGATCCTGGATTGGATTTCTAAAATTTAGCAATGAAACATATTCTTGAACTCTGTAATTTTGTCAGCAGGCAGCAACAGAGATACCAAGACAGCAGGTTTCTTAAAGGTTGGGTCATACAATCAAGAGTTTCAAATTATAAATAAGGAAAAGTAGAATACCCCTGGGCTGGTGTTTCTGCAGGTGGGCACTTCCCCTTTCCACCTTGCCGAGGGGGCAGATAGATCAATAAAATATACCTGGGAAATGTAGGGGGAAATGTCTGGAGGACAAATGGAATGGGCTTCAAGACAAGTCAGTAGGACAACCTTAAGAAGTGCCTTAAAGAGAGAGGCTTGGGATTATTAGGCAAAATTCAGGATTTGGAGAGTGAGCCGGGGGCAATACTGAGTGATTTTAGGAGGGCAAGAATTAGGAATACCATGACCCTCCTTTAAACCATCTCCCTAGGTTAGAAGGCCAGATTTCATATCTGGTGGAGGTCTTTTACTGCATTTGACTTCAGGATCCCTGACTGGTCCCATTGCTAGTCCTATTCCCAACCCAGCCCTGGAAACTCACTGGGCCACCCTGGGCAAGTCCCACGCTTCCAGCTGCAATGGTGCCAAGCCTCCTCTGGAGAAATTTTGCCAGGAAAACATGAAGGTGGGGCAGCTGAAAGCACATTTCAAGAGCAAGCCCTGCCTGATCATTAATAACGGTGCTGTTCCTTTCTTTTCTCTCTCTCTCTCTCTCCAGTGTCCATAGGAAAGATCATGGATGAAAAGATGTCCTGCCAGGAGTTTCTGGACCGCAATGACTCCTGGACGATGGAGGACCGAGGCCATTGCTTTGAGCCCCAGCCAGCCTTTAAGCCCATGGATGTGACAGGTGAGCAGCAATGACCAGAAATAACTTGAGCCTTGCCTGATGGGAAATGAAGCCGAGAACTGTCCGTCATTGTAATTTTTCAGTGAAACCAATGCTGCGTCCTGCATCTTCTTCATTCATAAGGTGATGCATGAAGTGGTCACAGAGTAAACACAGACATCTCCCCTCAATGTGATGGTTCTCAGGAATGGAAATGTAGGAACTGGCCCACATTGAAATGGAACTTTCCTGATGTGAAAGCTCTTTCCAACGCAGTGTCCAGGTGGTTGTCAGGTATCGGGGTTCTCCCTCTTGTGCAAATCATCTTTTTCTTCTGCAGGTGGCAATTGGTACTGATGGCCACTAAGAGGTAAAGGGTTAATTATCTCTTGCGTGAGAAGTAACCATGATACTCCAGCCAGGAATCCCACAGAGGATCCTCCAAGCACGCAAAGTGCTCCTTGACAGTTGCTTGCCCTTTCTCGGTTTGCTGCAGCATCCTTGGACTGACGTATTTGGAGCGCTTTTGATTCTCTTTCACAAGCTTTGACTGGCAAGAACCAGCTTAGAACGGCAACCTTTGCCAATCCAGGGAACAGGTGAAGTGAAGATTCATGAGAAGTCGTGGCTCTCTGGGAAAGACTGCAGTCCTTGGTAAGATCAAAGGCAGCAGAGAAAGAGGAAGAAGGCATTGCAGGTGGATGGAGCCCATCAAGGGAGACACAATGGCCTAAGTCTGCAAGACCTAAGCATGGCCATTGAGGGCAAAGGACTTGGAGGTCTTTCATTCATGAAGCCAGAGTTGATGTGATGACAATTAACCAAATATACAGCCTTTCCTTAATACCATGTAGGAAGCAGATCCCTTCTCATCTTTGAAGCAAAGCACCAGGAATATCAGAGGCGCAAATGGCAAACCTTGTGCAAAAAAATCCCATTAAATGAGTGGAGATGCCCTAAGCATTTGAAGATGCTTGGATTTCCTATCAAAACACCCTGCATTTCTTCAGATTCCTTCCTGCTTATTATAAAAGTGCTCCTGTAAGAACATTAATCAGTTGCAGTTCAGTTCTGTCTGCCCTGGTTATAGGAGTGCATTGAGCACCCCAATCGGTAGGCTTAATTTCCCTTAAAACTTGGGTCTCCTCTACCTCAGAAGATTCAGTGGCTCTTTGGGAGGCCGGCTCTGTTGCCAGATCAGATTCACAAGAGATGTGAAAGGAGATTGACCTCTGGATTGACCTGCCTTCTGCCGCGTGCTATTCCCTCTCATTACCCACTCCCCCTGCGAGTTGCTCCTTTGCATTAATAATCCCATTAATAAGTAATAAACAGGCCCATCAGGGGCAATTCTGCTGCAGGAGCATTTGCATGAGGAGAGGTGGTGGGAATTGGTGTGTTATGGGGCATAAACAATGGGCTGAGTCATTCTTTCCTCCCTCCTCCCAAGGAACGTATTGCATTGGATCCATGTGGCTACCTATGTGAGGAGGAACTCTCTCTCTCCAACCCTTTGCAATTCAATTTCACACTGCAGTTAGCTTAGAAGAGCTTGTGGAGGCTGGTCTGCAGAGCTGGGGCAGAAGGATTAGTGGAGAGTGTACGGCGGCATCACTGAATCCATTTGTTCTCAGTGTCATGTTTTAAAGCTGGGTTGAAGTCCTCTGTTTCACCTGAAGAGCAAGGGAAAGGGTAGGATGTTGTCAGCATTGCTTCTACGAAGACAAGGGTAGGAATACCAAGCCTCCCAGGCACTGCTTGTAACTCACAGCAACTCTAAAGTAGAAGTGGAGCTCCTCAGCATCTGCTGTGATCTGTGAGAAGAGACTTTTAGGATAGGAGTTGGTTGCTGATGTGTAGGGATAGCTTTCATTTAGGCCTCCAGAATGGGTCTCTTTCTTGCCTTAGGAGCAAGAAAGCACATGGAAACCGTGTTTCTTGTTTTCTGTGGCCACCATCTTTCTGCATATTGACCAAGGGAACAATCGCACGACATCCCCTGCAGCACCTTCTGGTGGCTGGCAAGTTGAAATTCCCCGTTGCAGGAATCCCTAAACCCTGCTTTCAACTTGCCTTTCATTCATTTCCTAAATAATTAGAACAGCAGATGAACAGTCACTGTTCCCTTCCTTCAGTGAAGGTTTCGAATGGCCAAGGAGTCACGGAAGTTACTTTATCTTTTGGGGGTTCAGGCTCCCCGGAATTCCTTACACAGAAGCTGTTGTCTCAGAATAAATGTCGTGAGAGGAGCTCTTGAGTTTTGATAGTCGCAAAGTAGAAATGCAACTCCAATGAAGAAACTGGCACAGGAGAAGAAGACCAAGGAACAGCTGGTTCTGCATGGAGGCCCAAGTGTCCAAAAAAATGGAAGAGATGAACCAAGAGCTACTCTCACACGGTCCTCTTCCGACATACCTCCACTGCCCTCCGTTATACTCCAGTTGCACAACCTTTCACTTCTCCTCTTGTATTTGTGTCTCTTCATTGCATAATCATGGATACTTAACATGGAAGACGTTCTTGGCCGGCTTTGCTTAGCGTGCTGTCACTTGGGCAGGTTGCTGGGCCACCCAGCTGGAGAGAAGAGCTCATTTTGGAAAAGCTGTCTGGACCGCAAGGAGGCCACTGCGTCACTCATCTGCCTCTGCCCTGGGGAGGGAATAATGGGAGTCCTGGCACAAGCTAAAAAGATGGATGTGTGGACAGGAGCCAGGTGTGAAGACTGTCAAGAAGGGGCTAGACACCCTTACCTGCTTGCAAATACATACCTCTCTCTTGTGCAGATGCCTTTCTTGATGTGCCTTCTCTGTGAAATCGTCCCTTGATTCAATTGGCACCCTCCCCCCTCCTGTCAAAGGTTCTGCCAAATTGGGCTGCATCCCGAGGAGAGAGGGAATCTCCCCGAGCCATTTTCATGTGGATCAATGGTTCTTGCATGTTAGCCGGCCCAGCAATCAATTATGAGGCCTTGACCTGTGCAGAAGGCGGCATGGCAGCTTTCCTCTCTCCATCCTGATTATAGCTGTTAATGACATTTTGTTTTATTGCATTGTTTATAACCTCTCTTCTATCGAAAGGGCTCAGGGGGATATACAGGAAAAAGCTGTGCTCAGGTGCAATACCTGAACACGATAGAGCCAGAAGATGCACAAGGCCAGGCACTAATACCAGAGAAGCTTTCATGATGAACTCTGTTCGAACCCAGGATTTCTTATAGTTGTTGGGATGGAAGAAGAAAGCTTTCAAGTTCAGCATTTAGTCTTTGAAATCTTACCCTTATCGCCACAGAATATGAAAATGTAGCAGTGCATCTTGTTGGGAACCCAACCAAAGTCTCTATTCCTCTCCATTTCAGGAGTCCTGTGCTGTTTTTGTGGGCTCACAAATCTCCTCAGAGTTAGGGTTGACCCAATATATTTTGGTGCTTGAGACAGAAAATCCAGATCTCCCCTTCCCTTTCCACTCCTGGTAAACAAACCCTAAAGTACAGGGCATGACATAACTCAAGATGAGCTGTCCATGGGTTGTGCCCCAAGTCTTCTGCCCAAAGCCAGTGACTTCCTTGGCGAAAGTGGTGCTTGGCTGTGTCCAGAGAGTTGCCAGGAGGTGGTCTGATGGAAACCTGAGGGCTTCCACATGAGCAGAATAAAAAAGAGAGGACATGAAGCCTCCTAATGGCCACCATTTCACTCATTGGGTCTCTTGTTGTGTCTGACTAGGCATTGAAAGGAGAGGCAGACAAGACAGGTGGACGCAACTGCCTCTTTCCTCCTTCTGCTTGAAAACAATCTCCAGGGGAAAGTGGTCCCACACTCCTCTTTGCCCATTCAATATGGCCTTACTTCTGGGGCAGGGAAAGTGCAGATGGGTTTGTAACTCCAGGGATCAATAGTTCCCCCTATTTTTGCTGCCCCTGAATGTCTCCAAATACCAACTGGGATCATAGGGTCAATTTCGCTCTGCTTTTGGCCAGCCTCAGGCCTTTGTGCCCATTGGGGTAATCAGACGTTGACTGGAAGTCATTTCCTTTTGGGAGAAAACCTAAAATGGCTCAGTGATGTCCCCAAACATGACAGAATTAGCCATGGTGGCATTGGAGGGAGACCAATATGCAGACATTTTGGTGAGAGTGGCAAGAGGTCCAGCTCTCCAAGGTTCCCCTGATCCCAGTGCAGCCCCATAGCCTCAAGCAGTTCCCCACCATTGCTGGCCCTGGAGGCAGGAAGAAGTGTGGGCTGTGGGAGGAGGACCAGGCTTTATGACCAGCACCCCATCCCACCCCACTGTCCCAGAGGTGGGAACAAAAGGCTTCTGACTGCTGCCAATTGTCCTCTAGAGCCTTTCAAGATGAACCGGGAGGACGTCCTCTCTGACCTGCTGCTGCTTCCCCAGGAAATGATGAACGTGCCGCCCTTCGGGGGGTATTTTGGAGCTCCCAGCGAAGAAAGCCCTGGTACCGTTCCCCATTGTGCCGCCTCCGTTGCATAACTCTTCCCGCTTTCAAGTGCCACTAAGGGATTCTTCTGCATGGCTGACATCTTTCTTCCTCCTCAGTTGCTTTGAAACTCACATTAATTATGGAAAGTGTTGGAGAGGGACATCGTCTGCTCTCTCACTAAACCTCTTTCTCCCCCTAAATTTCTGCGGACTTTCAGGACCTGCATGCCTGCTGCGCCCCCACCGAACTGGGCTTCTTGGGTGGGGGGTGAAGTCCTCTATACGGACTCTCTTGGTGAAAGGTCTAACTTCAGAGCAAAGTGTTCCTTACTGGGGGGGGGGGGGGGATTAAGTACCCGTGTGTCTCCTTCCCTTTGTATCTTTAACTCACTGCACTTTCAGGATCTCCAGCCCTCCTTTCTCTTTGCAGGCAGAAGAAAAAGATGTGGAATGGACCACAGATGCTTTTGGAGCTTTAGCACTGGCCAACTCTTCTTTAGGTTTGGGATTGGAAAATATTTTAGTTCAGAGATGGGCAAAGTGCTACCTCAGCCCCCAGTGGTGATGCTTCTGTGGTGCTTGATGCCTCTAGAAAGCATAGACCAACCTTTCTTTCCTGGCCAAAATAAAAGGCAGCATTGCTACTTAGGTACAACAATTGCCTTCTAAATGGGTTTATGCTGGGTTGTTGTAGGTTTTTTTGGGCTATATGGCCATGCTCTAGAGGCATTCTCTCCTGACGTTTTGCCTGCATCTATGGCAAGCATCCTCAGAGGTTGTGAGGTCTTTTGGAACTAGGAAAATTGGGTTTATACATCTGTGAAATGTCCAGGGTGGGAGAAAGAACTCTTGTCTGTTGGAGGTAGGTGTGAATGTTTCAACTGACCACCTTGATTAGCATTTGAAGGCCTGGCAGTTGTTTGGTGTGGCTCGTTAGTGCCTGGGGGAATCTTTTGTTGAGAGGTGATTAGATGTCCTTGTTTGTTTCCTCTCTGTTGTTTTGCTGTTGTAATTTTAGAGTTTTGTAATACCAGTAGCCAGATTTGGTTCATTTTCATGGTTTTCTCCTTTCTGTTGAAATTGTCCACATGCTTATGGATTTCAATGGCTTCCCTGTGTAGTCTGACATGGTAGTTGTTAGAGTGGTCCAGCATTTCTGTGTTCTCAAATAATATGCTGTGTCCAGGATGGAATGCCTCTAGAACATGGCCATATAGCCCTAAAAATCCTACAACAACCCAGTGATTCTGGCCATGAAAGCCTTCAGCAGTACATTGGGTTTACGCTGTTTAGCATCAGTCAATACCCACTTTTAACCATTTTGATGTTTTCATTTACATTTATTTTGGTAGCATATAGAGTCCTTGGGTCGTCCCATAAAAAGGGCTCCTGAACCTGCCACAATTGCCCACCTCTGATCTTGTCATAGGGGAAAACATTGGAGCTTTTGGGGCTGTATGTCCATGTTCTAGCAGCATTCTCTCCTGGCCTTTCACCTGCTCTGTAGCTGGCATCTTTAGAGGATTCCTCTGAAGAACCTCTGAAGATACCATTAGCCACAGATTCAGATGAAATGTCAGGAGAGAGTGCTGCTGGAACATGGCCGTACAGCCCAAAAATCTCACAGCAACCCATTAGGGCTGGCAGACTCTGCAAAACAAAAAAAACATGCCACTGTATATGACCATGAATTAGCTGCTGGACCTGGCTTCTCCATGCCCACATGAGCCTCATTTCAGGTAGAATGTAACCACAGAGTTGGAAGGAACTTCAAGGGCCATGGAACCCATCTTGTTGGAATCTACAGCTAAAGAATCCCTGGGAGGTGGCCACCCAGCCTCCGTTTACAACAGAGAAAAGTCCGTCAATCCAATGGGTTGCCAGTTGCACTGTCAAATGGCTGTTTCCCAGCAGTCGCAAGAAACCATGAAGGAAGTGTAGCCAACTTGCTCTTGTTTCTTCCAGCACCTTTCGGAGTTTCGGGAGTCCCTGAGCAGCCCCACCTCCTGGGAGCCCCACACTCTCCTGCCCATGTTTTTGACCCACTGTCTTTCCTGGGCGGAGACACAGGGGCAGAGACACGGCTGAACCAGAACCAAGCAGGTGAGCCTTGCATGGACCTCCTGCCTCCTGGGCAGAGTTGGGGAATCAAGGCGCTGGACTGTGGAGACCTGGGGGGTTTGTGGGGGTGGGATGGGATTAACAAGGTGGTTGGTAGAAGCAACAACACCTGCAGATTGGGAAGGTATCTGCATGTGAAATGGGCCCTCTCCAGTTCTGCCAGTGTATGGAATGGGCAGATGTTGCCTGAGACCTCCAGGTGAGTGCTCCCAAGGCCTTTCTTAAAAACGAAGCCACCTTTTGGGATGTTTCCCCTAAGGGTCTCTGTGCCTCTGCTTACTGTCTCCTTCAGCACCCGCACAAGTAGTGGGACCTCCCGAAGATTTCTGGATGGGAGCTCAGCACTTCATGGGAGGGCAGGGAGCCCCTTTCTTTGAGCCTCCAGGTAAAAACACAGAGAGGAGAGGCTGGTCTCCATTTTGTGTGGCAGACGCTCTGCCAGCTCTCTACTGGGTTGAGACCTTGGTACCCATCAGCACATCATGCATCTTGCACATTCTCCTCCATGCATCCTCTTACTCCCTTGGTTGTTGTCATTGAACCAATGCCATGTGGACTCCTTTTGAACCAGAGATGGTTGCACAGGGCCAGCTGTAGTTTCCTTGGTCTTTCACAGAGATTGCTTCCAGAAATGACATCTGGGATGCCAAAGGTTAAGCGACCAGCTTAAAAAAGCAATTCTGAACAGACCTGTGAATCCTGTTCCTTGACAGTAGTCCAAGTACTGCCATCATCTTGATCCAGTTGATTGATTGATTTATTTGTTTGTTTGTTTGTTTATTTAGAGCTTTTATAACCTGATCTTCTCGACCTCCAAAGAGGGACTCAGACCAGCTAACAGCAGAAAATTCATACACACATAGAATAAACATAATAGCATCATAATACATTAATACAAAAATACATTAAAATACAGATCATACAATTACAAAAGCCAGGTCATCAGAGTCAAATCACAAATTCATCACCATCCGCCAGTGTGGTCAGCCGTTATTGACTCAATCATCATTCTGCAAATGCTATATTCCAAAGCCAAGATTTTACCAGCTTTCTGAAAGTCAGGAGGGAAGGGGCAAATCTAATCTCTAACGGGAGAGAGTTCCAGAGCTGAGGGGCCACCACCGAGAAGGCCCTGTCCCTCGTCCCCACCAGACGTGATTGCGAAGGAGGTGGTACCGAGAGCAGGGCCCCTCCAGAAGATCTTAACAACCTTGATGGGTCATAGGGGAGAATCCATTCGGACAGGTAAACTGGGCCGGAGTCGTTTAGGGATTTATAGGTCAGCACCAGCACTTTGAATTGTGCTCGGAAGCTAATTGGCAGCCGGTGGAGCTGACGCAGCAGAGGAGTAGTATGCTCCCTGTACCCCACTCCTGTTAGTAGTCTGGCTGCCGCTCGTTGGACTAGTTGAAGCTTCCGGGCAGTCTTCAGAGGCAACCCCACGTAGAGAGTGTTGCAGTAGACTATACAGGATGTAACCAGAGTGTGGACCATTATTATCTGGGCCTTCTTTTCCTCCCTCCTGAACAACCAGAGCCTTCCCAGGTTTCCCTTTGTTTTTGCTTCTGAGCCCCCTCCCAGGCATTTGAGGGAGTTGAAATCAGTGAAGTGTTTAGTGATGTCCTTCTAGTCAGATGCAGAATGTTTGCCTCGTCCACTGAGACCTCCAGAGGAATCCAGTGGATCTTGTTTGGATGCCACCCATCTGCTTCCATCGCTTTGCCCCTTTTTGCTCCCACCCATAGACAAAAGCATTACAGGTCTTCTTCTGCTCTGCTGAAAGGAAGATGCACAGGAGTAGATGGAGACACAAGAGTAGGGCCCAAGCCCAAACATTTCTCTTGCTCACACACTTCTTCGGCTTACACCTTCAAATGACCATTGTAGCCCATTAGCCAATTTTGATGCCATGTTGTTCCAAAGTCATGCTTTTTAGGTCTTTGAGGAGTTCTTTTAGGTTTTTGAGGAGCTGGTGGCCCTGACTTGTCCTCTGTGTCAGTGGTATCCCTCTCTTTTAGTGCCCAGCCAGATCCCTGACATGGCAGCGATGCATGGGCTGGGAAGCCCCTCTGCGGGACTGGCCGACTTCATGGGGCAGCCAAAACTGTCTCCGTTGGCAGGTAAGAGCAAGTTTAGTTGTCTTTGACATCTGCCCCCCCCCCCCCTTCATCCTGCCAGTCTTCCAGAGGGGCCTCTTTGGTGGGTGAATAGCGTAACTGGGTGAGGCAGAAATGGGCACATCCTGCCACGAAGTGCATTTGTGGCAGCATGATCCCTGCAGATTAAGCCAGGAGGGATATGAGGTTTGGTTTTTGCTCACCTGGTGGGCTGTGGCAGTGGTTGGCCAGGAGAGCCAGGCTTGGTTTCCTCTTTTACATGGAACTCCTGCTCCTGGCATGTGGATAGATTTGCAATTGTGTCACTGTTTGTATGAGTGTTGGTCATGCAGTTGCATGGACAAATGGGCCTGAGTTTGATTCCCCTTCAGCAGCAAAGAGCCACATCCTTTTTGTTTTTCCCCAAATATTTTCAAAGGGGAGGGGGAAGAATCAGGCCTTCCTAAATAGTATTTATATGTTGGGTTGTATACATTTTGTCAGTATGGTTGTTGTTGTATTCGGGCACTGAATGTTTGCCTTTTATGTTTGGAATCTGCCTTGAGTCCCTTTGGGGAGATAGAGCGGAATATAAATGAAGTTTATTTTTTATTATTTTACTGACACAAAAGCACAGTATGTCACAGCAAACGAGATCTATGTGCTGGATTTTGTATCATAAAATCTCAAGTTGAACACTTCCCAAGTGCCTAGGGCTGTGTGATTTTTTATTATTATTATTATTATTATTATTATTATTATTATTATTATTATTATTTTACTGACACAAAAACACAGTGTGACACAGCAAAGAGATCTATATGCTGGATTTCGTATCACAAAATCACAAGTCGAACACTTCCCAAGTGTCTAGGACTGTGTTATGTATTTATTATTATTATTATTATTATTATTATTATTATTATTATTATTCCTTCTGACCGTTCTCTTTGGGTCGATCTTTGCAGCCCCTCTTTCTCCGGCTGGTGCAGGTCCTGCTCCTTCAGTCGATGAGCTGGTGGGCTTCGAACCATCGTTTAGCCACAAATCCCTTCTGCCTAAAGAGTCTCCAGCAGGTGAGCCTCGCTTGGCCTGAGAGCTTGTGAATGACCCATTTGGGGTTTTCTCCTAAAGGTCACAGAATCAGAAAAAAGTATAGGGTTGGGCAGTTTTGCCAGTGTAAGGATCCTTGGCTAAAGTCTCGCGCAGAGATAGCCATGCAAGGGAGAATCAGGCCCCTTCTACACTGTCATATAATCCAGATTATTGAAGCAGATAATCCACATCATCTGCTTTGAACTGGATTATATGAGTCTACACTGCCATATAATTCAGCTCAAAGCAGATAATCTGGATTTTATATGACAGTGTAGAAGGGGCATCCATCCTCTTCAGAAGTAGCTTTTTCCACGGTTGACAGCTTTTCCAGTCTCCTTCCCTTTACTCAGAATGTCCTTTCTTGCACTTTGAATCCATTAGTTTAGATTCTGTCCTCTGGAGCAGCTGAAAACCAGTTTGCTCCTTTGAGAGGCTTTCAGATGTTTGAAGACGGCTAACATCCCCCTCAGTCTTCCCTTCTTCCAGGCAAACGTATCCTGCTCCCTCCACCATTCCTCACAGGGCTTTGTTTCTCGATCTTGAAGGGAAAGGGCCAAATAACCTACGGGCAAGAATGCAAAGGGAATCGTATTGTAGTAAGAGGAACAGGGGGAGAGGTTTTGGTCCTCTGCCTCTTCACCTCTCTTCTTTGCAGCCTCAATTCATAATTTAAATGCTCATAATGCAGAAACCATCTGGAGAGGCCTGCTGGAAAAGATTGGTCTTTAATGCTATTTTCAACTTAGGCAGCATGTCCAACTGTCAGAGCCCTTCCATCAGGTTCCTTCAGAATTTGGGGGCAGCTGAAGATCAAGTCCCCAGGTTAGCAGTTACCAGCCCAGTCCCCCAATAAGACCTGAGTGTATAGGTTGATTATATGGGACGAGGCTGTCTCATAAGTAATATGGGCTCAAACCATGTAAGATTTGGAGGGTAACAACCATCAAGGGTCACATGAGCCATGGGCCCTTGGTTCTAGGCATTGCCAGATCTTTGCAGAAGCAACTGCAAACTGACGGTGTCTGGGAAAAGGCCTCTCTTTCTCCTTCTCCTTGGAACAGGTTCTCCTGAAGCGGCTGGAACTAAGGAACCCAAAGCCAAGGCCACGGACGCCACATCCCCAGGTGCAGGCAGCTCCCCTGGACTGGGAAACCCCGGAGGGAGCAATCCTCTTCCAGGCCAGAACAAGGAGAAGGAGGAAGGCTGCCTGTCTCCCAACAAGGAGGACGCAGGCAAGCCTTCCTCCAGCCAGAAGTCGGAAGAGAGTAAAGCTCCGCTCGGCCTTGCAGTGGAGGAAAAGGCAGCTCTGGCCCAACCTCTCGGCCAGAAGGAAGAAGAGAGTAAGCCCTCCCTCACCCTCTTTACAAAGGAAACAGAGAGCAAACTGCCCAGCCCCAAAGCAGAAGAACCCAAACAGACAGAAAAGGCCAATGAGGCCAAGGGCACTCCCACCGAGAAGGCTTCTCCTGCCCAGAAAGTTGAAGAACCGAAGGCTTCCCCTCCCAAACAGGCAGAGAAAGCGGAAGAGGACAAGGCCGCCCCTGCCCCCAAACACATAGAGAAAGTGGAGGAGAGCAAATCTCCTTCTGACCCAAAACATCCAGAGAAACCAGAGGAGAGCAAGTCTCCTTCTGCGGCCAAACAGGCAGAGAAGCCAGAGGAGAGCAAGGCTGTGCCTAGAGCGGAGGCAAAGACCCCTTCCTCCCCCAGCCCACAAGCAGAACAGTTCCTAGGGCTGGAGAAACCGGAGGAGAAGAGCAAGAAGGCTCCCGCTGTGTCTCCCGAGAAGCCAGAGGAGCCAAACCCGCCACCGCCACCGCCAGCCAAACCCGTGGAGCATCCTCCAGAGCCTGCAGGTAAGGAAGGACCAGGTCCGTTACCACAAGGAGCCCTCTTCTCTCCTCTTTCTGGCAGCTAGGAAAGGCCCCCTCCTTCCTCTCTTGGAGTCTGCTCCCCTCACCAATATTGAGGCTCTTAACCTGAGAGACAGGCTTCTTGGAAAAGAAGCAGCAGTCCCAGTGCCATACTGGGACCTCATCGGTAGTCTGCCCAGTTTTCTCTGGAAGTCAAGGAGAAGCCAAGAAGGAAAGGCTTGCTTACTGTGGCTGTTGTCTGTGCTTTTGACCATGTGGGCAAGCAGTAGAGAAACCCCTTTTTGCAATCCCTTTCTGCTTTTGTTTCTGGCAGCATTGAAAGAAGCCGTGCCCCCAGGAGAGTCCAAGGCAGAGGCCAAAGAGACTTCTCCGGAGAAGCCGGCCCCTACTCCCTTGGAAGCAGCCAAGGCCAAGGAAGCGCCTGCGCCTTGCCCGGAGAAGCCTCCAGAGGTGGCTCCAGAGAAGGCCTCCCCAGAACCTGCAGGTAAGTGGGAAGGGGAAGGGGAGTCCAGCTCCACCTCACACACCTGCTTCCCAGCCTCATCCCATTGCAAAGGGATTCCTCCTCCTGCTGTGGAAGCAGCAAGCCTCCATCTTCTGTGGCTCTTTTAAGGAATGGCCTCACCTTACTCTCCACCCTTCCTCCTATTAACTTCCCCTTTTCTGCCCCACGGTGGGCAACCCCACATTGCATTGCTAACACGAAAGTGGTAGCAAGGGTCCAGAACAAAACCCTGTGTCCTTTTGTTCTGTGATTCATGTTTCTTTCTTGTGTCCAAGAGCCATTGGTTTAATTTTTGCGAGTGGCCCTTTGCAGCCAACCCTTTAAGAAAGACTGCTTTATCTTTGAGTGGGAGAAGAGCTCTGCTACGTCCTCCAACTTCTCTGATAAGCACAGAGTGGCACCCTGGCTGAGATGGAGGATGAATTGGGAGCCCGGCTTGGGCAGAGAGGCCTTGGGGGCCTCCACCCTGGAGAAGAAACACTCTGGGTCCAACTACAGCCAGAGATCCTGAACCTGTAGAAGGGTTCGTTCTTCTCATTCTAGTCTTGCCTATCTGGCTTCTCCATCCACTGATGCCAACCTCCTTCCACATCTGTATTTGCCAATGTTTTCCCTTCCCGCACAAAAAGTTCTCTATTTCAGGTTCCTGCTGTGCACCTGACCTTTTCTTACCTAAGGGAAGAGGTGAAACGGACTCTGCAGGAAGTTTTAGAAAAGGTTTCAGGCCTGCTATCTTTAAACAATAAAGCAGTTTGAATATCCTTTGTAGAAAAAAGTATGAAGAGTTTATGTATGATATAGAAGAGAAAAAGGAAGTATAAAATGCAATGGGTTCCTACTCTTCCCGTTCCCCCAAATAATGTGGTTATGATGGGAGTTGATGCTGCAGTCCTCTGCAGACCAAGGACAGGCCATAAGCTGCCTGTTGTGCCCCTCGGAGGCCCCTGAAACCTCAACTCTCCACTTAAATAGGAATTTGGCATAATTCTGTGTGGCCTTTGCCCAAAATCTTCACAGAGAGCCTCCCTAAGCAGGCAAAAACATGTTCAGCCCCATGCAGGAAACAACTTAGCATCCACAAGTAACTGCATTTTCAATGGAATATTTTGCAAAATGGCTACAGGAAGTGACACAGCATCACTTCCAGTTGCCATTTTGGGAAGTTTTCTGATGAGGATAGATGTCTTTGGGAATGCCATGGCGGAGCTTTAGCCTGGGGTGGAGCGAGGGTGGGCAGGAGCGAATGGGCCCTGGCCTCAGGAAGACGGTGGGTCCCTGAATGCCGTGAGTCCTAGGGAGGAATTGCTCTGGTTCTTGAGCAAACTTCCTGTGTTCCAGGTGCTCCTTCGGCCCAAGTAAGACAAGCTAACAAGCCCAGTGACCACCACAGGTTCAGCAGAACAAAATCTGCCCGAGTAACAGTGGCAGATGCCCCGGAAGAGCCCCTGGTAGGTTTCCCGGCTCAGAAGAGTCACGACCGAGGAGGAGACCCCTCTTCCGTGGCGGAATATGGCCCTCCTGCTGGAACATCCCCTCGGAGCAGGGCTTCCCCAAGGAAGGCAGCTAGCCAGCCCTTGGAGTCCGGGGAGGCCCCAAGGGACGTTTTGCGAGAGGCCTGGGACCTGGAAGCCTCGGCAGCCTTGAAGAAGAAGAAGAAGAAACCCAAACAGAAAAGGGCCCAGCAGCAGCCAAGGCTGGCAGAGACCTTGGAAGGCAATGCTGAAAGGCTGCAGGCTCCGTGTGTCGATGAACCCCACAAACCGGAGCCTCTTGAGAGTGCAAAGGCATGCTTTGGTCCTTCCACAGAAATTCTTGGGAAGGAGGCTTCTTCCGTGCAGAGAGGAGACACTCAGAGCCTGCCCACGGTTCCTGCCAAAGGAGAGCCTCCCCTGCAGGTGGAAGGCCCTTCCAGGCTTGGGATGGATGCAAAAGCAGGTGAATCCAGCAGCGTGGAAGTGATGAGTGATGACAGATTAATGTTGCAGTCGAAAAGCAAACAGAAGGAATCGTCTGAGGAAGAAGAGCGGAAACACCAGGCTCAGCAGAACAAGCAAGGAAACCCTGCCAGTTTTGGGGGAATAGCTCCCTTTGGGAAAAGCACAGAGTCAGGAGGACCCCCTCTCAAGGACCTGCGCCCCGATTTGCAGACCGGCAAGAATGGTGAGGACAAGCCTTCAGTGACAGTTCAGAAAGTGGGCCCAGCTCCTTGGGGAGAAGGCTTGTCAAAGCAGCCAAAGGAGAAGGAGGAGGAAAAGGGCAATGTGGCTGGCAAAGAAGTCACCATCTTTCCTGCTGAAGTCCCAGCTGCCGAAAAGAACAAGGGAGGAGACTCCCCAGAGAAACCCAAGCAAAGAAGTCCTGTCGCCTGGGAGTCTCTGCCAACATTGGGCCCCTTGGGGGCACTTTCATCCCCAAAGACAAAGGAAAGCAGTGCCACCAAAAGTGAAACACTTGATGATGGGTCTGCAGAAACACTCTTGGAAACGAAGCCCGACTCAGCCAAGCCCCTTCCTCCTGCTGAGCCCATTGAGGGTCTGAAAGTTCCTTTCACCAACACCAACAAGGGAGCCTGCCTCAGCCCTTTGGAAGAGCCAGCTGGGCTCTTGCCCAAGACCGGGAGCGACCAGGCCAAGAAGAGGGGCAGCGACGGGAAAAGCAAGAGGGGGAAGAACCACTCGGAGCAGCGAGCGTTCCTTTTGGAGGGCAAGGCCAATTCCAGCAAGGCCCCAGGTGCCCAGGAAGCCGAGTTGGTGGCCAAAAGCATCGAGGTGGGCTTCTCCAGTGCCGTGGAGAACAAAACCCCTCTTAGCTCTGGAGGGCTGGCAGAGAAGCCCAAGAAAAGGAACAGTGAAGGGAAGGGGAAAAGATCTGCCGAGAAAAGCTCCCTTGGGCCTTCCTTCTTCTTGGACATGGGGAATGGCTCAGGGCAAATCCAGTTTGAAGGGAGCAGCCCTGAACAGGCCACAGGCCATGGGAGAGCCGGGACTGGTCTCTTTGCTGCCAGCCAGGCATTGGAAACTGCTGGAGATGCAGCAAAGCTGCAAGATGTCACAACTACACCTGGAGGGGAAAAGGTGTCGAAGGCTCCAACCAGGCCGACCGAGGACTGGCTTGACTTCCCTCCCTCAGCATATCCCTTCATCTTGGAAATGCCAGGTAAAGAGACAGGGCACCCTGCATTTCTTGAGGAGAGTGCCCAGGCCAAGGGGTCTGCCATACTGGATACAGGCGAAAGGCTCCCCATTTTAGAGAGTCCCCCCAGCCTGGATCCTGTGTCGCTGTTTCCAATGAGCAAACCCAAAAAGAGGGGCAGTGACGGGAGAAGCAAGCGGGCTGGGAGAAGTCCTTTGGAGCAGCCATTCCTCTTGGAGACTCTTGATATGAATCAGCCCACCAAGGGTGCGGGGATAAGCAGAGAAATGGGCCCTGCTGGTAAAGATTTGCTATCTGGGGCGGCCCCATTGCTGGAACCATCTTGTGAAAGTCAGGCACTGCTTCCTGCTACAAAACAGATGGAGACAACCAAGGGAAAGAAGAGTGAGGCCTTGAGCATGGCTACAGAAAGCAGTTGCTCGGAGCAGCCTCCCGCTTCTGATTGGAAAACGCTCTGTTTCAAGCCAGAGAAGATGATTAAAGTCAAAGAGGCACCTTTCACTGAAAAAGGGCAGGAAACCAAGCCTGGGTTGGAGGTGGAAAATGTAATAGATACCCTGAAATTGCACGCTGAGCTTGTGGCGGAAGAGCCAAAGGGGCAGACTGTGGAAGGGCAAGGACATCAAGCTCATAGCATTTTGGAGGCAAAGCCAGAGCCAGTTAAACTCGGGATTGTGGATCCTAAGATGGTTACAAATGAGAACGCAACGGCAAAAGAATTGGAGCATCTCTTGGAGCATTCAAAAGCGGCTGGCCTGGCCACTGTTGGATCACTTCTCAATGAAGCTCCTGTAGGTGCGGGAGAGGGAAAAGGCAGAAAAAATGAGTTGTGTTTGGAAGAACCCTTTCTTTTGGGGGCCAAGGAAGAAGCAGGTCGGGATTTGGAAGTTGAAAGAGAGGCCAAGTCAAGAGACCTCTCTTCCCCCAGATGCAACAAGGAGGAAAGAGGCAGCGGCTCAGAGTTTGCAAACAAACAGGATCCCATCAGCACGAGGCCCATCAAACGTGGCAATGACCGGAAAGGCAAAAAGGCTGCCAGTGGCCCTGCGCGGTCCGTGACCCTTCAGGCAAAGGCAGAACCCAGCAAAGGGCCAGGGCCAGAGTATCCCATGGGGGAAACCGAGTTCATGGATGAGAACAGAAACATTAAGAGCCTTCCTCCAGGGCATCGGATGCACTGGGAGGAGAATACAGAACGCTTTTTTGGACCCTTCGCTCCATCAGTCACTCTTAAGGAAAGTCAAGGACTGGGCTGCCCCTTCCTAGAGGGCAAGCTGGATGGCGACCTAAGCAAGGGACAGGTTTTCCTTCCTGAAATGCCAAAGGATGCCAGCAAAAGTGAGCGGAAGGATCAGCAGGAACTCCAAGAGAATTTGGCAAAGCTGGAAGGTCCTGAGGCTCCAGTGGAGGCTTCCCTTTTGATGAAAGCAGGTGATGAAACCAGAGAGAAGAGGAAGAGAGGTAAGCGGCCCCCACTGGATAGACTCCCCACACCGGAGGCTGGAGCAGGGAAGGATCTGGCCGCTTCTTCCGTTGCAGCAGAAAGTGGAGGGGAACAACACGCGCAAGACTCCGGGCATGGTCTAACCAAACTGCCAGTGGAGGGGGTGCCAAAGATGGTTGCTGTTACAACAGAAGGAGACAGCTTTGCTGGAAGAGGTTCCAACTTCCCTCCTGTGGAGTTGCCATCCCTTTGGGAGAGCAAGAAAGAAGCAGCCACGCTTGAGGCCCTGACTGCTGCCCTCGTGGGTGGTAGTGCCCAAGTGTTAGCAGAAAGTAAGGAAGGAGCAGCAGACCAGGAGGCCTTTGGATGTCTTGATGGCTCAGGAAGTCAGGCCCAGGCAGATAAGGCCCCAGAGGATGCACACGCAGAGGAAGCACCTCCTGCTAACAAACCCAGAGACCTTGCTGAGCATCTGGAGCCTGATGATGATGTGAAGGAGCCAACACTCAGCCCACCAGCCCAGACAGCCAGCAAGGAGGACGCCAGTCATTTGCAGAAGGCGCTTGAGCCGAAAGAAGCACAGAGTCCTGAGTTTGATGCCGGGGAGGGCTCCGTCTTGATCCAGCGGGCTGACCAAGTGGAAAAAGAGCCCAAAAAGGAGGCAAGAGCCAAAGCCCCTCCACCAATGAAAGGCTACATGAGACCCACCAAGTCAAGAGGGCTCCCTCCTCCGCCACAGAAGGTCACGGTGAGCCAGCCGGGCAGGAGAAGGCCGGGCCAAGCTGACAGCACAGCCTCCCTGCACAGGCAAGAGAAAGGTGTGTGTTTGCAACTGTGGCCTGCCTGCCTACCAGCAATAATGCATACTACAGCTTGTGTGTGGGAGTTTGCTCCATGTTGGCAGGTTGGCATGAGCACCTAACTGTTAATCCTGCGCCCAGCGCACAAACGGTACCCGGCATGACTGTGTATGGCTGTTTTTTGCCTCCAAAGAGCCTGTTTGATTCTGCTTGCCTGTTTTCACGGCACTAACGGCCAGATTTGGAAGAACTGACATTGTGAGCCAAACTCCGTAGCTTCTCTGTGTGCTGCTCCTTGTTTATGTGTTGGGTACACCTATTCACTTGGGTTACAGACTGGGAGCTGCTTGGCCCCTCGTTTCATGACGTCTTCCCTTTACCTGAGGCTGAGGCCTTGGTGTGCTCAGGGACACACATTTACCATAGTCCCTAGACCAAAGCCTCTCAACTGAATCCCCTTCTGTCCTCGTAGGGTTGCTGATCTGTGGGGGGAGCAGCTTGCAGCCAAGTGTTTAAGAGGCTCTCGTGGGATGTCTGAGGAAAGTGGGAGGAAGGTCATTAGGAATCCCCTTCCAAGTGGACTTCTCGAAATAGTGATCGACCATGCCGGAAAAGGGCAGTCTTCCCGAGATGAAGGGCACGGTCAAAGGATGATCACTGCATATCCTGAAAGGTGTCTGCTCAACATTATTTCCATACCAATAGACACAAATACATATGTATATATGCATATATGTGTATACTCTAAACGACAGAGTGTGCCTGATCATCATTGTCGACACTGTGCCGGTCATTTGAACTATTTGGGTTGTTTAGTCTTTACCAAGTTACATATTACTAAGGGTTTTTAAACCAATTTTACAACCAATATAATTTCTTTCTTTAAAGCATTAGTTTGCATCCACTTTGAAAACACCACCCAGCGCTGGTGTTTTCCCTAAAGCATGTTTAATTGGGCAGGGTTCAACGGTGCTTTGGGAAACAGAGAGAATGCATGGGCTCTGGACCTACTGGGTCCTTCTGATCAGCTTCTAGATCCCGTACCCCCTTTGTTTTCTGGGGCCCCTTTCCTGGTTGATGGGTTGGTGCCACTCAACAGAATTTGGTTGCCTTGGTTTGCATGGAGGACTCTGGATCGACTAATAAAAGTTGGAGTGATGCTGGCCTGAATGTTTTGCTGTGGTTTTGTGGATGTCGTGTATCATTCATGAGGGTTGCGTAACCTGCATCCTAGTTCTATTTTGGGGCAAGTGCTGTTCTCTGCCTGGCGGTGGGTCTCCTGGGAGGCCAGGGTGTATCAGGGTGTTTCTTGCATGAGGGTGCAAATGGGAAGGTGTTTAATGGAATTGCAGCAAGCCTTTTCCTTTTCACACTGCTGTTTCCCTCTCCTTGTGATCTGCTGTATTAAAAAGGGACGGGAGCATACGTAGGAGGAAGATGCAAATCAGAAAAGAGCTGAGAAAGTGTGACTTGCCAAAGGTCAGCCAGCTGGTTGCTATTTGGGAATTTGAGCTCTGCTTTCCTAGACCCTTAGTTCAATGGTTTATTTACTTACTGCCTTGGAGTGCTGCCTTTCTCCAAGAGGGAGACTCGAAGCAGCTTCCAAACCATTAAAAATACCCACAGTGAAAATACAAAAACAGCTACAAGCAGATAAACATTTGCAAAAACCCCTGCCACTTGCTGGTTGCCTCGTAGTGGGTGCCCTGCTTGGGTCTCTTCCACTTTTGCCCAAGGAACTTCGTAAAAGAATGGGTTTCTGTTTTCTTCCCTATTTAATGTGTTCCAGGCTCAACAGCCACACTCCAGCCTCATGCTGTTGGTTCTGTGTTTCTTGATGCAAGATGGCTTCCCTGTTCATTGCAGTTTATTAGTCATTTGTGCCTGTGAGGGAGGCACAACTCTTGGCTGCAAAACCCCTTGAAGGGGTTCCAATGTCTTTGGTCATCCGGATGGGCCTGGCTGGCCACAACGACTTTTCCTTGGTGTCCGCACGTGCCGGGTGTGTTTGCCAGGGAGCCCCCATCATCCCGGAAGGTGCTGTTGCCTTAGAAACGAGTGCAAAGGGCGCTCCTGCTTGAAACGGTTTGTTTGGGAGGTCTTTCAAAAACCACTGAGTGGAAGATAAGCGCTTTCTCGAGGAGTAAAGCAGTCCGTCCCCCTCTGCTAAAACACAAGGCTCTGGGGGCGCGGGGGGAGCCGGCAGGTTCGGAACAGCATCCTGGAGTCCTGTGCTGGACTTGTGTGACTATGCATGGCATCCATCTGCACATCCTGCTGATTCTGTAGGCTGTATTCTGAGAGCGTGGTCCTAAGCTCCTCTACTTGGGCCGCTCTTTCTTTTTAGGGCTTCTTGCTGACACAGTGGGAAGCCTTGGGCCTCCATGTGAAAGGGATATTTGCCCAAGGAAAACAGATTGGGGTGAAGCTCCTATTGCAGCCCCACTCCATTGCTCCAGAAAAGACTTCCTTGTCCTCCTTGGCTCCCCAAATACCTTCCAAAGTTTTCTTCTGAGGGCCCTTCCACACAGCCATATAACCTAGCATATCGAGGCAGAAAATCCCACAATATGTGCTTTGAACTGAGTTATTTATTTATTTATTTATTATTTGGAGTGCTTCCACCCCGCCCTTCTCAACCCCCTAAGGGGGGGGGGGGACTCAGGACGGCTTACAAAAGGCACAATTCGATGCCCAACAGTTCACAAAATACAATATACAAAATACAATATAACGACAACAGTTATAGCTAATTAAAACAATCAAATTAATACAATAGCAGCTATAAAATCATCTTGTGGTCAACGTTTGTCAATTCATAAATCCATAATCCATCCATCATTGTCATTGTCCTTTCCTACTTTGGTCGTCATTGTGTTTTATCCATCTGCCAGCTTACCCAAAGGCTTGGTCCCATATCCAGGTTTCTAACTTCCTTCTGAAAGAGAGGAGGGATGTTGATGACCTAATTTCCCCGGGGAGTGCGTTCCACAGGCGAAGGGCCACCACCGAGAAGGCCCTGTCCCTCGTTCCCACCAGTCTCACTTGCCATCTATTCCAGTTCAAAGCAGAAAATTCAGCTGTGTGGAAGGGGCCTGAGCCCTGTAGGTTGGAGTACTTTCTTATCAATAGGATTGGATCGAATGGCCCTTGTGACCCACCTTTCCGAGTCTATGGACAACTTCCTTCACCCCTGCTTCCTTCTCCCCGCTTCCTTTTCCATTAGGCTGTTGTGGCATCCACTTCCTGCCTATTTTCATTATTATTATCATCATTGTTTCAGCCTGCCTAATTTTCCAGAGTCTATTGTTCCTTGGCCCCCCTTTTCTGATAGCAGAACCTGAGCATGTAGGTCCTATACCACCCCTCCAAAAAAACTAACAAAACAGCATTTCACTTTAATTGCTTTGGTCCTTTATGTGTGTGTAACAATGTTGGGGTGGTTGCTGTCCTTCCATGGCATCGAGGGCAGCTGGGGAGGGCTGGCCCTTGGAGGTGACAACCAGTTTTTAACCTTGTCTCTGTGTGCAATTCAAAGCATACGCACGAGCCCTCTACCTCCCTCCCTTTGTGTTCAGCCCATCTGGGTGGGTGGCGATAGGGAAGTGTCATGAAGTCAAGCATCATCCAACTTTACCCTCTGCTTGAGTCACACTTCCTTCCACCCTGCACTTAAACGCCAGGAGTCAGTGTCTGGATTGGGGAAGGGTGGGTTGCCTGGTATTTTTGCATGCTACAGGATCAATTGAGGGGGCGTGCTGCCGTTCGGGAGTCTAAAAATACTCTGGCAAGTGAAGGCGCGGGAGCTGTCGCTGCTGCAAAGTCAATGGCAGGAGGGCGGCCTCCCTCTCTTCCCGACAGTATCCCTGGTGCCAGGCAGATGGGATTTAGAATCATAGAATCAAAGAGTTGGAAGAGACCTTATGGGCCATCCAGTCCAACCCCATTCTGCCAAGAAGCAGGAATATTGCATTCAAATCACCCGATCCAGCCTCTGTTTAAAACCTTCCAAAGAAGGATCCTCCACCATACTCCGGGGCAGAGAGTTCCACTGCTGAACGGCTCTCACAGTCAGGAAGTTCTTCCTCATGTTCAGATGCAATCTCCTTTCTTGTAGTTTGAAGCCATTGTTCCTTGTCCTAATCTCCATGGAATCCGTAAACAAGCTTGCTCCCTCCTCCCTGTGGCTTCCTCTCACATATTTATACAAGGCTATCATATCTCCTCTCAGCCTTCTCTTCTTCAGGCTAAGCCACTCCTCATAGGGCTTGTTCTCCAGACCCTTGGATCATTTGAGTCGCCCTCTTCCTCTGGACACATTCCAGCTTGTCAATATCTCTCTTGAATTGTGGTGCCCAGAATTGGACACAATATTCCAGGTAAAGTGGTCTAACCAAAGCGGAATAGAGCATGGGGAGCATGACTTCCCTAGATCTAGACACTATGCTCCTCTTGATGCAGGCCAACATCCCACTGGCTTTTTTTGCCGCCACATCACATTCCTGGCTCATGTTTAACTTCCTGTCCACGAGGACTCTAAGATCTTGTCCACACATACTGCTCTCGAGCCAGGCATTGCCCCCCATTCTGTATCTTTGCATTTGTAAGTCGTTGGTGGTGGAGTATCTTGCATTTGTCCCTGTTGAACTTCATTTTGTTAGTTTTGGCCCTTCATCTCTCTAATCTGTCAAGATCGTTTTGAATCCTGCTCCTGTCCTCTGGAGTCTTGGCTCTCCCAATTTGGTGTCGTCTGCAAACTTGATGATCCTGCCTTCTAACTCTTCATCTAAGTCATTAATAAAGATGTTGAACAGGACCAGGCCCAAGATGGAACCCTGCGGCACTCCACTTGTCACTGATGTTGTCCTTGTCAACATCAGGGCTGTCCAATGTCACGAGAAGTCTGATTTCATTTGTGCTAGGTCTTCCTTGGTGGTTTCATTTTGGCCTGGCTGTTCAAGACCAAGAGTTGGCTGGTAGCTGGGAGCAGATTCAGGGAGTAAAGTTTCCTTTTTGCA